TGCAGATGCTCTCAGTGTACATAGAAAAAAAAGATACATTCGTCAAGAATCATAAGGTGCAACACATAAGGTGAAAATATTTTCAGACCCCTCACATCCTGGACATAAACTGTTTCAACTCCTACCCTCAAAATGACGCTATAGAGCCCTGCACACCGAACAACTAGACACAAGGACAGTTTTTTTCCCTGAATGCCATCACTCTGCTAATCAAATAATTCCCTCAACACTGTTCCAACTATTTACTAGGTCTGCACTACTATTACGATTAATCTTCTTATCATTCCTTATCACCCATCTGCTCTCACTTGTGACTGTATGACTATGTTTGTTGCTTGTATCCTTATGATTTATATTGACTGTTTCCTGGTATGATTTGAATGTTGATTATACCCTATGACTATCATTAAGTGTTGTACGTTATGATTCTTGATTCTTAACAAATGTATCTTTTCTTTATGTATACTGAGAGTATTTACACCAAGACAAATTCCTTGTGTGTCCAATCACACTTGGCCAATAAAAAAGTATTCTATGCCTAAGTATTCTACAATTTATATTGACTGTTTCCTAGTAGGATTCGATTGCTTATTATTATACCCTATGACTATTATTAAGTGTTGTATCTTATGATCCTTGACTATTGACTTCACTTCATTGAGAGCATTTGCACCAAGACAAATTCCTTGTGTGTCCAATCACACTTGGCCAATAAAAAAGCTATTCTATTCTGTTCTGTTCTGTTCTGTTCTATTCTATTCTGTCTCTGTGAATTCTATTCTGAATTCCAGCTGCAGTTTGTTCGATTTGAATGGTTAAAAGGCATGAATCTTCTTTTTTTAAAATGAGGCCTCTTCTGATTCCAGTAAACTAAAATTATTAGGGCTACAACTGTCATATTTCCAACTGCATCTTTGCGCCGTATCTTAAGAAGATGCACCTATTCTTTAATATTCTGCTCCAGGGAAGGATCTCCAGCTCTGAAGGGCGGGAGGGGTTGGTCCCATTTGGGTGGGGTGGGGGAGATAGTGTAGCTCTCCCCAACTTCCACCCTACTGCTACCCCTCCCTCTCAGCTACCACTACCATACATCATTCTTGTGTGGTCCCACACATGCTTTTGGGGGGAGGGGGGATTTAAGCCTTGTGGCCCAGAGGGGGTCTCCAGCCTCCTCTGAAGCCAGAACAAATTGAGGAGCCCCCTGTGCAGAGCTCAGGACGACTTCAGAGGAAACTGGTATAGAAGGCAGCACCTGGGGGTCCACAGACAGCGGGAAGCGCCCTGCTGCTTACTAAATGACTTCCAGAGCAGCTACGGACGTCGTGAGGGATGGCAGATTTTCAATTCTGTGACACTGGAAAACTGGTCCTCGTGCAAAGCCAGGAGGGGGTCCCCCCAAGCAGGGAGGCAGCTGCAATTTCCCCCAATCTCACCTCCCCACAGGCCACCATCTTGGTGAATGTCAACTTCAGTAGGCAAACCCCACTAGGCATGACTCTCTCCGGCAAAACTGGCTCAGCTGGAAGAAACCAGCAACTACATCTTTCAGTGGTCTTTCCCCCCTCGCCCCCAAGGGGTGAGAAGAGGGGGGTCAAACTTCCAGGGACGAAGCTCCCACAACTTCCAAAGGCAACTTCTGTCCCATTGCTTGTTCTCCCAGTCAGGAAATTCCTCCTTTTTTTCCAAGTTGAATCTCTCCTTGATCAGTTTCCATCCGTTGTTCCTTTTCTGGCCTTCGGGTGCTTTAGAAAATAGCTTGACCCCTTCCTCTCACCCCCTGTTGAGGGGAGCGTATGGGGACAAGGTTGTAGTTGTGACCTCAAGAGCAGAGATCTCCAATCTTGGCCACTTTAAGACTTGTGGACTTCAACTCCCAGCTGGCTGAGGAATTCTGGGAGTTGAAGCCGGCAAGTCTTAAAGTGGCCAAGGTTGGAGACCCTTGCTCTAGACCAGGGTCCAAATGGACCCACCAGGTTCCCTTCCGATCCCTGTTTGTAGTTGTGGATCTCCAGAGGCTTCCTCCTCCTCCCCCGACTCAGAAGAACCACAAGTTGTGGTGTCGGGCTGGGTTTCCCCTCCCTGCACGCCCAGGTTGGTGGGTGTCTGATCTCGCGCTTTTCTGCAGCCCCCTTTTCTAAGGACGGCAGGTGGACGAAGGCAGAGGAATGGCGGGGTCGCAAATCTTCCTACCTGGCTGCCCTTCTCGCCAGGAGGCCCTTCTTTGCCAGGATGGCCCTGTAAAAGATGAAGAACAGATTAACAGAGTTGGAAGGGACCTTGTAGGTCATCGAGTCCAACCCCCCACCCAAGCAGGAGACCCTACAGCATTTCTGACAGATGGCAGTCCAGTCTCTTCTTGGAAGCCTCCAATGATGAAGCTCCCAAAACTTCCAAAGTTGGTTGATTGGTCTCACTGTCAGAAAATTCCTTCTTATTTCTAGGTTGAATCTCTCCTGGTTCAGCTTCCATCCATTGTTCCTTGTCTGGCCTTTGGATGCTTTGGAGAATAGCTTGACCCCCCTCCTCCTCTCTGGGGCAGCCCCCCCAAATCTTGGAAGGCTGCTCTCCTGTCTCCCCTGGTCCTTCTCTTCCCTAGACTAGCCAGGCCCGGTTCCTGCAACAGTTCATCGTATGTTTTAGCCTCCAGTCCCCTAATCATCCTGGTTGTTCTTCTCTGCACTTTTTCCAGAGTCTCAACCTCTTTTTTATAGTGTGGTGACCAAAACCGGATGCAGTACTCTAGGTGTGGCCTTACTCAGGCTTTACAGAGTGGGATTACTACCTCCCTTGATCTTGATTGTATCCCTCTGTTGATGCAATTTAGGATTGCGTTGGTTTTTTTTGGCTGCTGCCGCTGCACACGGCTGGTTCCTATTTAGCTGGTCGTCCCCTAAGACTCCAAGATCCCAGTTCCTGCTATTGAGCCCGGTTTCACCCAGTCTGTATGGGTCCTTTGGGTTTTTCTTGCCTAAGGGTAGGACTGGGCTGCCTGTTCTTCCTGCCTCAGGCCTGCTGGTCAAGCTTCTCTTCCCCCTCCCAGCTGGCTGCCCTTCCAGGCCTGGGTGCCCTTCCCTCTCAAGGGGCTGCAACAGGGCGAGCACTCTGGGTTGGGCGTCTCTCTTGGAGAGTCTGAGGGCCTCGGCTGACCTGTTCACCAGCAGGCAGACAGAAAGCGCTCCGGTCATCAACAGGACTAAGGCCCCAGGTCCAGGAAAGGACAAGAACAGAGGTGGGGGGAGGGGTCCTTCTGGGTGAGGGATACTCCATCTAAGCATGGATGGGCACCACAAACCAGGCCTCAGGAATGCCTCTCTTGGCAGAAACCCTGGCATCTCTAGGAATCGGCTTGGCTGAGCACCTGCCAAGGGCTGCACCTGCCAGAAACCAGACCGGCCCCCCTCCAGCCTTCCAGCTGCTGCTTCTCCCAATTAACACAAAGAGCAGAAGCGAAGAGACGGAATTGCAGCTGCAAAACCCTTGCTGTCTTTCCGGGGCTGTTTCTGCAGGCTGGCCCGCGAGAACGGAGGTCAACGTTCTGGGTCTGCCAGGGTTTGAACTGGCCCAGGGTGCAGGGGAAGCCCTGCGGGTACTTTCCGGCTCCCTCTCCCCTCTGAAAGCCTCCCGCTCTCTGTGGGAGTCAACCAGGCATCCGTTCCGATCTCTGATTAATGCGGGCAGATGCAAGAGAGGCACAACCCACAAATCTTCCTGGCAGAAGCCAAAACTGGAGAAGGATGGGTTCCCAGGGACGTTTATTTGCAAACCAAGGATTACAGGCCCTTGGGTGGAATTTTACAGCCATCTAGCTCTCTTTACTGAGAAGGATGCTTGCAGCTCTTTCCAAGCAATACTGGTTTGTTCGTAGACAATTATAACGGAAGGGTTGGAAGGGACCTTGGAGATCATCTTGCACATGCTCTGCCCAATGCAGGAATCCAGTGGAGGCAGGAAAGAAAGACAGGAAGGAAGGAAGGAAGGAAGGAAGGAAGGAAGGAAGGAAGGAAGGAAGGAAGGAAGGAAGGAAGGAAGGAAGGAAGGGCTCCTGTAGGGATCTCATAACAGAACTTACCGGGGGACCATCTGCTCCAGGCATGCCAGGGAGGCCGGGTTTCCCCAGGGGACCCTAAGGGAGAAAAAGTCATTTTTGCAACCACAAAGCAAACACACTGAGCTTACCAGTTTGCCAGTTATGCTCTCGGCTGTCGGAAACTCCTCCTAGGAGCCAGGACCTGGCCTGGGCCCTCCCCTCCTCCTTCCCAGGAATCAGCCCTTTGAAGCCTCTTGGATCAAGTGCTGCCCCTCCCCGGGAGCCCACACACACAGCAAGGGGACCTCCGTTACCTCCGGCGACCTAACGAAGCGCCTCACCATAAGCCATTCTCTCCGTCACCTTCTGTGGGAACTGAACTTGGCTCAGGTGCCCGTTAGGTAAGACTCTCTTGACAGTTATTGATCTGTTTGCAGGGGCTGCCAGTTCAACTTGAGATGGGCAGAGCAGGAGTGCAGAAGCCGCCCGGGCACTCCTCTGCTCTCTGCCCATTCAAGCCCACCCGTGGGGGCTTCCGGAAGAAATTCAAGTAGCTTTGCCCAGACGATGAGGCTTTGCTGGACGGCCCTTAAGGCGGCCAACTCAAAGGCCTGGACTGGCCCTGGGCATATTTCCAGCACCCACCCACCTGCATCGTTCTGACCCAGGCTTCGTCAAATGTAATTAAACACAAACTTTTAAAAGCAAAACCTATTTTATTACAACCCTGGGAATTACTTTCATTCCCAGCCAGAACTAATTATAAACAGTCCCCCAAGATAAGCACACACCTTTCAATGTGGTGGAATGTTGCCAAAAACAGAAGTCTCCAATTATCACAGAAACCAACCGAAATACCAGAAAAAAACAACCAGAGCTTCAAGGAGGACTCGTAATCTATCAAATGACTTTGCTTCCTGCAAAGGTTTCGTCATCTTGGCCTGACCTTCATACCTTATTCATTCCCAGCCAGTAATGAATCTCAAACAGTCCCTCGAGATAAGCACCCACCTTGCTTTCCTGTGAACTGCTGCCAATAACAGAGGTGTCAAGTGAACTAGAGAAAAAGTCATCCAAAGTACAAAGGGCTTCAAGAATGAGCCTGAACCGACTGAAGGACTTTGCTTCCTGAAAAGGTTTTGTCATCTTTGCCTGTCCTTTATCCCTTAGGGGAGGGGCAATCACCTCGCAGCCTTATTCCTGAGTCACCCCTTTTGTTTCAGCTGGTCTCGCCTTCTAGCAGCTCTGCGCACACACACACTGGGAACTGGCTCCCGCTGTTCCTCTACCTCACTGCTGCCAGACTCTGGAGGGTCCGGAGTCAGCACCCCACTCCCAGATGGTCCTGGCCCCATCTCTGCATCGGACACAGGACTCTCATCTGAATCCTCTCCAGACTCCCTGACTGGTCCCCGTTCTTCCCCACTGTCCGACTCCGTTGCCATCTACACCGGCTGCTGGTGAACCCCAACACCCGTTTTCACCCACTCTCTTTCCAGAGGCTGCAAGGAATCCGTGAGAAAGAGGCTGGAGGTCTGATCCATTTCCACGAAGGAAAAAGGCTTCCCCAGCACAGAAAATACAAGAAATAATACAGGCAGGTATCCGAGCACAAGAGCAGCAACTACCCCGAAGTCTACCCGTCTCCTCTAAAGAACGAGGCTGGGGGGTTTGTCATCCACCTACCTTATCTCCGGGGCCTCCAATGGGACCTTGAGGACCAGGGAGACCCTAGAAAGAGAAGAGGGGGACGGAGTGAGGCAAAGAGGGCCCTGGGGAAAGCCCACAGGGGTAACCCCAACCCACACTTAAGGGGGAAGAGTTCCAGGCTGCGGGTGCCAAGGTTGAAACCCCGGGGTTTTTTTTCTGCATAACAAGATGAAAAACACTCCCACCCCCCACTTGCCAAATGCCCACAGTAGCCAACAGCAGCAGGGTTGGTTTATCGGCAGAGAGGGGTATTCAGCCGGTTCGGACCAGTTCTGGAGAACCAGTAGCGGAACTTTTGAGTAGTTCAGAGAACCAGCCAATCCCACCTTGGAATCCCCTCCCTCATTTGTTCTCTGCCTCCCATCGAGTCCCAGCTGATCGGCTGGGTCTCCTTTGGTTGCCCTGCCCAGGAGAACGGAGCTGGAAAGCAGGCTAGTGGGGTGGGGAGGGAAGGGGGATTTTGCAGTAACCACGCCCACCAAGCCACGCCCACAGAACTGGTTAGTTAAAAAAATTGAATCCCACCACCACTGGTCTAAAAGGGATTCCAGTGTCCCACAGGAGACCAACCTCCTCTCCGCCCCGCCACCCACTCTGCATTGGAAAGCTGTGACAAGAGGCTCAGAACCCCCCCACTCCACCCCCCAAATGACCCCAGGCATGTTCAACTCTCTGGGATTCTCGGAAATGAGGCTTGCAAAGGGGGGTCTCTGGGACTCCCAATATTGAGGGGGAAAAAAGAGGGGGGGGGAGTCGGGTTTTTCCCAGCACGGCGTCTTCCGGAGTGCTGAGATCAGCAGACCCAAGTCTCCCTCCGTGCCGGCTTGGAAGGTGCCAGGCAGGAAGTCCCGGCTGCTGATGCCAGGTGCAAATTTCCTGTGGCTAGGAAGCCTCAATGAAGGGAGGCAGCGGTGGAGCTTAGCCAGGGACAAGGTTTGGTACACGGAAGTCCTCCTTCCCAGAGGAAGAAGTGGCCCTGCTGGACGTGGATCCTTGGCCCTCTAATGGGGCTTGTCTTTCCAGATCTTTTAGGCTGGAATTTTCCTACCTTACCTGAAGGTGGTGTACAAAGTTAGCACCCACCTCTCTCCTGGGAGAATGAAATATTTTGGGAAATATTGAAAAAGGCAAAATATTATATTTCCCTGAGGGAGAGAACATGCTCTTGGAAAGCAGCCCCCGAGTTTTTCCGAACAGCCCCAGCAGGACTGGGCCAGCCTATCTACAAGACAAAAGATCTTCAGCTCCAAGGCGATGGGATTAATCAGACGTGGCCTTTCAGGACATAATAGGACCATTTAGCAGAAGACACGGAGGCCAGTCTCCTAAGGACATTGCATCAGCCAAGCTTCAACCAAGCTTAGCTCAGATAAACTCCTATTTGTACATGGGAGTCTGACAACAGCCAATAGAATACACGCTCTTGCACAGAAACAGGAAGCTCAAGTTCAAAGCCCAAGAGAAGGTATAAAACCCCCTCACTCTCAACTCCGTGTGGGTCATCTGCCCAGAACCCTGTGCCTGGTAGTTCTGCTTTATCCTTAAACCATCTTTCCGATCACCTTCCATGTTTCCAGTGTCTTCCTCCCCGCTTGGAGCTGAACCAGATGGAGATTTCACCCACCAGTGGTACCAAGTGAATTAGCTACATGCCTCAAATTAATCAACACTAAGAACGTCCATCCTAAGCCCTAATCTGAACCCCGCAGCGAAAGGGGTGCCTGATCCCCCGCACTCCCTAATGGAATCGCGCCTTCTTACCTGAGCACCTGGACTTCCCTGTTGACCTGGGGGTCCAGGCTCACCTTGAGGACCCTGAAAAAGAAAACAGAAGGAGAATATTCAGCAAGGCTGGCTGGATTTCCCTTAAGAGAAACCAAAAGGGAAAACCCTTTATTATAACCCCCCTTTGGGTTATAACCGATGATGCTTTTTATCAGTAACACTGCATAAAATAACAAGCAAAACTCAGTACCTGTAGTTGCCAGGAATATGACTCCTAGCAGTATAATACTGCTGACTAAGATTATTTAGAAAAGCTCTCACATGCTAATGAAAAACACCCTGAAACATCCCATTTTACCTGGTTTTGTCATTTTGGGGCGCTAATGATGCTTTTTATGGTTGGGAAGAAAAAAACTCCACTTTAAAAAGCTTTGAAATTTCAAATCAGGTCTCTGGCAGCCAAAGCATTTTCTTGTCTCTGAGTAAGTGACACAGCCCCCTCCCTTTAAATATGTATATATATACTTATATATTTTCTCATTGTATATAATAAGTGCTTAGTGGACAGTATACTGTCTGGGTCAGTTTGTTTACGCAGCAATATTAAACTCCTAATTTCTACTTCTATGATCCAACCATTGATAGAACGTGTTCCAAATCTGAAAATATTCTGTGTCTTCTTTTTCTTTTATCTTCATTGTTAGTCTTTCTGCACAGTCTAATGTTTTTTTTTTAATAATCTCTTCTTCTGTGGGCCTTCTTCTGCCATAGCTCTGAGTTCAGAGACTGAGCAGTAGCACAATGTTGTGTGAGACACCGATCGCCCACACACCCTGGTGCCTCTTTCCCCGCCGTTGGGCACCAGGGCCTAGAAAGCACAGGACTTTCTTCCTTGTAGGAGAGATGCAACCCTCCTCCTAAGTGTTCTGACCAAGGCTTCCCAAAATCACCAAGCAGACTCCTCTTCCCGACAAACCCCCTTTTTATTTGATTAATGTGAATTCCTATCATTCACTTCCGAGTTGAGGTCCCCCTCAGCGAAGCTCCCTCCCTTGTCCTGCCTCCTGGGCACCATGGAGAATAAATCCAGCCATCCTCCTCCAAGAGCGGGAAGAGCTCCGTCTCCAGGCCGCTTCCTCCTTTGAGCTTGCAGCGTCAGCTCCGTGTGCAACTAATCATGTACCTAAGTGCCTCATGATCCACACAGAGAGAGACCCACAGCCCCCAGTGCTGGAATATTCCATGGCCACTGATTACTCCAGCGAGTTCTTTATTCAAAAAAAAAAAGAGACTGCAATATGAAACCCATGAAAATCAATTTGAAATGTAAAATTAATTAGCACCATTTACTTTATGAAAGCAACGTCCGTCCTCTTTAAAATGAAGACGGTCTGGAAAAGTCATTAGCGAGGCTTAATTTAGGCAGCTGGAGCAAGCTCGCCCGGGGCGGGCAGGCACTTACCACGTTCCCCTTAGGGCCAGGCTGCCCATCCATCCCCGCAATGCCCTGGTGGGAGAGTGCAGAAAAGAGGAAGGTGAGCCACAGGTAGCACAGACGGAAGCCCCCCCACCTCCCGCCCGCCCCCCGTTCTCTTCCCAGCGGTGTAACCTGGACTCCCAAAGTGAAGCACGCTGGGGAAACTCTTGGAGGAGCGAAGGTTGGGCAACGCTCAGCTCTGGCCCAGGAGTGGCTCCCCAGGGCCCCCCCGGGAGCCCCCTCCCCATTCCGCATCAGGGTCTCAGCAGGAAAAACGCTGCCACCTTTCAAAACCGTAAAAGGGCCTGTTTTGCTTTATTCCCCTCATCCTTTAACCACCCATAATCCCTTGCGGGGTGGACTTGGGGCAACTGAATGGAGCTGAGGGTGTATTGGCTGGCTGCCCTTCCTGTTGCCAGTGCGGACTTTTTTCTGCGTGGACCCAGAGAGAGAAAGATCTGCCTCTACCTGGGATCAAACTCACAGCGCCCTGATTGTGAGGCGAGAGCTCCACCTCTGGGCCACCGCGCCACTTGCCTGTTTGGCTTTATTCCCCCGTGCGAAATCCTTGGCAGGTTTGGCCTTCAGGCCTTGGGGAGTGGGAGAAGGGGACTAAAATTGGGCTCATCCTGGCCCCAGAGTTGCTGATCGGACGTTTTCTTGCCCGAATCCTGGGCTCCACCTCCCAGAGTTTCCACTCATTCCCTCCTGCTCGGCTTCGTCCTGCCCCGAGGGAAGGGGGACACGGCACCACGGCCCCGGGGCTCCCACAGGACACATGGCGGCCCCCTTCCCTCCCTCTGCCGGCCCAGTGGCAAAGGCACCAGGATGGCAGCCAGGCCTGGCCTGGGAGGAGGAAGGAAAGTGGGGAGGAATGCCTCATCTTTCCCAAGACGGCCGGCATCTTCCCTGCCAGTTGGCCCGGACAGCTCAGCTTCTGGTCATCATTTGCAGGGCACGTTGGAGGGTGAAAAAAAAATATTTCCGTGCAAAATCACAGAAGCAAAGTGGAAAGAGGTCTTTTTGCCGCTGCAATGATGCAGGAAGATGCCCCGGTTGAAGGTCATGGGTGGCTGAGAGGCATCCCGGCTTCCTGCCAAAGTATTTCATTCTACTCACCGGAGGTCCTGGAGGCCCTGGGGGCCCCTTCGGTCCCAGCAATCCCCGGGGACC